AAATTATTCTATTGATTCAACATGCCTCTCAGCAAATAGTTTGGGGTGTCTACTTCCAAAAAGGGGTCATTTTGGGGGGTGGGGTCGTTTTATGCCCAGCATTAGAAGTTTATGCCACACATCACTCATTCTTCTAAACACCTGAAGATCAAGTCTTTTATGACACTTTTTGTTCACATTAAAAAAATCTGTATTTTTTGCTAGGAAATTAATTTAACCCCCCAAACATTATATATATTTTTTAAAGCAGACACCCTAGTGAATAAAATGGTGGGTACTACAATTTTTTCTGGCACATAGTACTCGCGCAGCGATTTTTCAAAAGCAATTTTTTAAAAAGAAAAAACACTTTTTTTACTTTTTACAATATATTGGCCAATTATTTGGTAAGATATAAAAGATGATGGTATGCCGAGTAAATAGATACCAAACATGACATGCTTTAAAACTGCGCATGCCCTGTGCAATGGCGACAAACTGCATCAATGGGCATTGTCATATATTCTTTTTTGAGAAATCTGGGTTCTATCAGACTCTAGATATCTCCTCTGCCCTTACATTATCTAATCAAACCAAAATTGGTGTGATCAGATGCTTTCCCAATTTACAAATGGCGTTGTTTATATCCTGCGAAACTGAAGTGATGAAATGCTCATAGCTTCCGAATTCTTAGACTATAGAGATGATTGGCACCATTTTTGGTCTACAATCAGCTCTATGGTCAGCTGGCAGAAACACCGGCTGCATTCTCAGGTTCCCCCGATGGCACGGGACTACCCGAGAAGGCCGTGGAAGGCAGGGGAGGGGGGGCATCAAATCCCGCTGCTTGTAAAATCAATCCTGCAGCTAATTAGCCACTAGGATTGCTTTTTACATGAAAGCCAATTGCCGGGTGAAAAAAAACAATACCAGGATGATGCCTGCTGCTGTAGGCATCATCCTAGTATAACCATTCAAAGTCCAGTGATGTACTAGTACGTTGCTGATCCTTGTTGGGTGTATATGCTATGTTCTTTTTTTTTTGTATGCAGCCTGAATGGACTGAATGAAAAAAAGAGAAGAAATCTCTGCCAGAAAAAGTGTGTGGTATGCCCACCATTGGAATACACCGCCCTTCATCCACCCACTTAATGGTGGGCACATATTAGGTCACACTTTGCCACATGCACCAGTTCCAAGATTGTACAAATGTCTAAATAGTGGCACGCTTGAATAAAAATTGTCCACGTATAAGTGGTACCCCATATGGAAAAAGGATGACGCCAAGTCCCAAACTATCTTGCCACTGCTCCCCATGTAGTCTGGGCATCCGGGGGGCACCACGTGACTATCTATTCCCTTGTAAATCCGAAACTTATAAGTAAGCCTGTTGCCCTCTCACAGGTCTTCTACATCTTGAACCCATATCTGGCACGTTTGCTGGGGAGAAATTGTTTGAATGCAAGGCGGCCAGAAAAATTAATGAGGGACTCATCAACACAGATGTTTTGCTGGGGAGTATAGACATCTGCAAATTTTTGGTTAAGGTGATTTGCGAGGGGCTGAATTTTGTGGAGCCAATCAAATTCAGGGTCACCCCGAGGATGACAGAGTGTATTGTCATTGAAATGCATAAAACACATTATACTCTCATATCTTCTATGCCTGGCCATGGCAGCAGAGAACACGGCATATGATGAATCAGGTCTGCAGACCAATAAAACCGCAATTCATTTCTTTTAGTAATGCCCATGTTGAGGGTTAGGCCCTAAAAAATGTAAATTTGGAAACCGTAATGAGTTTCCATGCGACTGGTCTGGCAAGGTTTGAATTTGGGTTGGTGGCGATAAATTGTTGTGCATATAAATTGCTTTGATCCACAATCAACGCATACAGATATTCCGTGAAAAACAGCTCCAAAAATCAAGAAGGTATGTGAAAGACCAAGATGTACTAGACCGCTGGTACTCGCCAGTTCACCAAAAGGTAGCGTGGCACTAGTACTGGCACTCTGCTGCATATGAAAGTCATTAAAATTTACCGGCAAGTGCTAACAGAGATCAGGCCTGATTCAGCGAACACTGCGGTTTTGTGTGCAATGTATCAAGTGACAGTGACCTACTGACTCTGCACTTGCTGGGGGAGAAGAGGGGGTAAGCGTAGGGGCTAAACGCTGGTGCTGGCAGGTGCCGGGGCTGATCCCGCTAATGCTGCGTTTTTGGGGACGCTATACAAATGTGAACGCTGGTTTAGTGTTGATCTGATCAAAGATATTGATCCGTTCAGACACTATGCTAGCAATGGAGGTTTATTGTACTGACGGGCAATCTGACGCTATCTGGGAGGGGCGTGAAAACCATGGGAGCGCAAATCATATATATATATATATATATATATATATATATATAGTATATATGTATGTGTGATTTTGCGCACCCATGCCGCCCTGTAGCAGTACTTTAATTGACAAATGCGTGTTCATGCAACACTGCAACCAAATTTAATTTACATCCTTTTTTTCCCACAAGTTGAGCTTTCTTTTGGTGGTATTTGATCGCCTGCGCGTTTTTTATTTTTTGCGCTAAAAAAAAAAAAGGCTGAAAATTTTGAGAAAAAAAAACAATATTTTGGACATTTTGCTATAAAACATGTCCAGTAAAAAAAAAATGTAAAAATCAAATTTAGTCATAAATTTCAGCCAGAATGTATTCTGCGACATGTCTTTGCTAAAAAAAAAATCCCAATACGTGTAAATTATTTGGTTTACATGAAAGTTATAGCGTCTACAAATGGCTGGAAAGATACTGGGATTTTTTATTTTTATACTAATAATGGCGGTGATCAGCGACTTATGACAGTGATCAGTGACTTATGGCGGGACTGCAGGACTGCGGGACTGCAGCCGACTTTTGACACTGGGAGGGAACTGACTTGGGGTCACTGACATCCCCAGTGACACTAATACAGTGATCAGTGCAAAAAAAAACACTGACACTGTACTAATGGCACTGGGGAGGAATGGGTTAACTTTTTTAGGCAATCAAATGGTTAACTGTTTGAGGGGAGTGTTTTACTAGTGGGTGGGGGTGTGTACTTCACAGGAACACGCTGATACGGAGAGATATAAACTCTTCTCTCAGGATCAGCATTTTAGGAGCTGACAGGGAGCAGAGTGGCTGGTCGGCAAGTGGTTAAATAATACCAAACCATATTTTTCATTATTGTGCCCTATGTGTACCGATTCATAAAACATCCATTATACCAGATAGATAGATAGATAGATAGATAGATAGATAGATAGATTTAGAAGAATGCCTTTCAGATATTCAATGAATTTCCTGGTACTGCTCTTGTCTCTGCTCCAATATTGCAGAATATCAAACTATCAAATGGAAAATTCCAACTAAAATAAAGTGGTTTTTTTTCAGTAAATTTTGATGAAATTTGATTTGTGGTTAAGCTGCAAAGGTTTCCGGTTAGTGATGGAAAAACATGGTTCTTACATGCTGCTGTGGTTTGAACTGACTACTTATTTGAATAAGCCTAATTTTTAAGAGGTAGTGCAAATGGACTGGAAAAAGAATTGCTATCAACCATTTCCAGGCTAATAAACCTGTATGTAACCAGCACACCAACAAGCTTGTTTCAAAATGAAAAGCTATTACAGATGACAAAATTAGCATTGTTTCAGGATCTTCATCAGGCATGTTATAAAGATACAACAAGTGCACTGTTTGCTGTTTGTCACATGCCTGATGAAAGGCCCCTGTGAAGTCCCAAACATTTCTTGCAATAAAGAGAACTTTTAATTTTTAATCAAGCTTGATAGTGTGTTGGTGACAAGCTGTGTACCGTTAACAGTCGACACCCATATAACCATGTCCCGATGTTGGTAACAATGCCTCATCATTGGTGTCAGTGAGAGGAACAGTATCCTATCATTTGTGTCAGTTGGAGAAATAGTGCCCCATCTTTGGTGTCAGTGAGAGGAAAATTCCCTTAACATTGGAGTCAGTGAGAGGAACAGTGTCCCATCATTGGTGTAAGTGGAAGGAATAGTACCCTATCATTGGTGTCAGTTGGAGGAATAGTGACTCACTGTTGGTGTCAGTGGCAGGAATTATGCCCCATTGTTAATGTTAGTGGGAGGAATAGTGCCCCAAAGGCCGGATAAAGGCAAGGAAAGAACCGCATCCAGGCCCCTGGGCTGCATTTTGGAGACCACTGATCTAGGGGGTATAGTATGCAGCCAATAGTGTGGAGTACACTAGGTACAATAGATACAGTCAATCAGTATGGAGAATTTAATGTTCAAAATACTGCCCACAACTGGCCGGAGTGGACAGTAAAATGTAAATAAGACTGCATACAGTCAAACAGTGTACAGCATATAGTTGTACAGTACAATGTATAGCTCAGATATATGTAATATATGTGATACAGCATAGCCAAACACCCCCGTGCTTGGTTCGCAGTCAAATGTTCGAACCCAATGAATGTTCGACTGCGAACTTCAAACTCAATGCAAGTCTATGGGACTCCAACTTGTAAATTCAAAAGTGCCCAGTTTGAAGGCATATATGCAAGCTATTGGCCATAAAAGGAGTACTGCCCTGAGGGACATGAATCAGTGAAAATTTTTTTTTCAAAAAGTACAGTTTTTAAAGGGGCAGTCATTATTCACTGCCTAAAGTAATAAGAAAAAAAAATGAAAAATTCCTTTAAATATCATGACTGGGGAGCCCCCTTAACCAACTCTTCCCTGCCATATAAGGAAATGACGAATGGGCAGTGGTTCTCTCATTCTGGGAGGAGGTCATATGACGTCCTCCCATTCTAACTGTGCATGCACCCCTGGGGACACGCAGCAATCGGTGGTGCGCTGTGTCCCTGGGACACAGCGGATCACCAATCAGAGTAAAGAGCCAATGACGTCGGCTCTGTCATGTGATCAGCTGTGTCCAATCACAGCTGATCGCATGTAAACAAGGATATGCTGGTAATCCGCAGTCCTCTCCCCATGCTGACAGCGAGTGAGGAGAGCCGGTAAGCAGCATTCCTCAGAGGGGACATCTACACTGATCATCAATGCCACCTGTCAGCGCCCATCAATGCCACATACCAGTGCCCATCAGTGCACATCAATGCCACATATCAGTGCCTACCAGTGCACATCAATGTCACATATTAGTACCCATCAGAACTACCTTTCAGTGCCAGCTATCAGTTCCAGTCAGTGCCGCCTATCAGTGCCAGTCAGTGTTGCCTATCAGTGCCGTTAATCAGTGCCACCTGTCAGTGCCGCCTATCAGTGCCAGTCAGTGCCGCCTAACAGATCCAATCAGTGCTGCCTAACAGTTCCAGTCAGTGCCGCCTATCAGTGCCATATATGCGTGCTGCCTTTCAGTGCCCATCAGTGATGACTGTCAATGCTCACAAGTAATGCCTGTCAATGCCCATCAGTGCCTCATCATCAGTGCCGCCTATCAGTGCCCATCAGTGAAGCCTATCAGTGCCCATTACTGCAGCCTCATTAGTGCACATCAGTGAAGGAGAAAAATTACTTATTGATAACAGAAACTAAGAAAAACCTTTTTTTTGTGAATTTTCAGGCTTAGTTTGTTTAGCAAAAAATAAAAAAAAAAAACAGTGGTGATTAAATAGCTATATATGTCTCAAAAATGATACAAATTTTGCTTGGGTACAGTGTTGCATGACCGTGCAATTGTTATTCAAAGTGCAAAGCTGACAATTTGCCTGGGCAGGAAAGGGGTAAAAGTGCCCAGTAGGCAAGTGGTTAAACTACCTGCAAAGTTACACATTTGTACAATGTATAGAACCTGCTGCAGCAGGACTGACATTTTTTTCTAAAAGTGACATTTTTATAAAAAGAAAAAGAAACAGCGTGGGGTCCCCTTCCCCAATCCCCACAAGGCCCTTTAGGTCTGGTAAGATTAGGAGGCACCCCACAGTAAAAAAAAACAAATTTTAAAGTGCATGTGCTTCCCCCTAAAAGCCACGCTAGGCCCTTTAAGACTGGTAGGACTTTTAACCTCCCTAGCGGTATTCCCGAGTGTAGCTCGGGGTAAAATGTCAGTGCCAAAAGCGGTAACCCCGAGCTACACTCGGGCTTACCATGCAGCGCTGCATAGGGAGTCCCTGCAGAGCTTACCTTGTCCTTCGCTCCAGCGATGTGTCCCCTGCAGCCGTCCCGGCCATCTCCTCCGGCCGATGCCGGCATCCAGCTTCTGTGTTCCGGTCCCTGTGACGTCGGGACGTACGGGCACCGGAACCGGCGGGAAATTTGAAAATTTTAAATGTCATATTTTTCAAAACACATTTTTCATAGTAAAACATTGCTGTTTCAACCCATTTCACATACATATTGTCCCTAGTGCTTTGTCCTGTGCCCTGCCTGCATTTTGTCTGTTCTTTCTGCCTAGAAACTGAGAAGCGTCCATGGCGTCCAAAAAGCGTCCCTTTATGTCAAAAGCGGGTTTAGATCAGCTAGAGAACAGCGATAGTAAATCAGAACCACTTGCAGAATTGAGTGATAATGATTCGTGGGGGAAATTCGTCATCAGACACTGAAAACAATTTTGCGGCTTTGCTCAGCGATGTATGAACTTGGCGCTATATTTCAAATTTCAGTGTTTTTTGGTTTGATTATATTATTGAATTAAATTTTTATTATTATATTATTATTTTTTATGATTATTAAATTATAATTTATGATTTCGGGTTTCAAATTTTATCATACCCGGGATGTTTAATAGACTCTTGTTCAGACAGATTTCAGTGAGTTATTCCTAAAAATTACAGCCTACAATAAAAAAACGACATATTTACATGCAAAATAATGGTACCGCTTTCAGCACCAAAAAAATCTGAAGTAATCATACCGCCAGGGAGGTTAAGGGGAACCCCACTCCCAAAAAATGGGGGGGGGGCAAATCTCCTAAACTCCTACCAAACCCTTGATCCAAGTACAGGCCTGGCAGGGCAGAAAAGGGGGGGGGGATCGAGCACCCCCCTCCCTGCTGCTTACAAGGCCATGTACCCTTGGCATTGGGACAAAAAACTGTCCCAATGACAAGGGCATGTGGCCTGGTAAGCCCTCTCCTGCCCTGCCAGGCCTGTGCTCAGATCAAGGGTTTGGTATGAGTTTAGGCGGGACCCCCCAAGCTTTTTTTCCCCGCTTTTTTTTTTTTTTATTTTTTTACTGTTGTGTCCCTCCTAACCTTCCTACCAGACCTAAAGGGCCTGGTATGGATTGGGGAGGGGGGGGCCCACGCTGTTCCTTTTTTTAATATATTTTTAGTTTTTTCTTTTTGTTTTTTATTTATATTATTTGCCGAAGGCACGTGGCCTGGTAAGCTGCAGGTAAGCCCTTTTTTATTATTCTTTTTTTTTTTTTCCCCTCGGTCTTTGGCAGTGTCCAGCAACACACACTGCATTAGGCTGCAGTATAAGCAGCCTTATATAGTGTGGGGCGTGGACTTTGCCGTGAGCCATGATTGGCCAAAGTCACCGTGACTTTGGCCAATCATGGCTCTCACAGTGCATTGTGCTGTGAATAGCCAAAACATTGCACCTGACCTGTGGTCAGGTGCATTGTTTTGGTCAATCATGGCTCTCACAATGCACTTTGAGAGTGCAGTCAACCGTGGGGCGCTTGGCGGGTGAAAAAGCCCGCCGAACGCCCTTCATGTGTTCGGCGAACATATAAGCGGTCGATGTTCGAGTCGAACTTACGTTCGACTTCAATATCGAGCTCAACACCATATATTACATATACAACCAACAGTAACGGGTATACTATAATATTATTACTATATACTGTATATAGCATTTTTACAAATTAATTTTTCTTAGTCTGCATAACTAAGGGCATAGCAAGGGTTATTCTTTTATTTAAATAACATATTTTTTGGTAGAATGGGCCCTTTTGCTGATCTCAGAAAGTTGGGAGCTATTGGCTCCTCTCATTACAAATCTTTTTAATGAAATGTTTATCCAAATGTTTATATGGAACGACGAGTATTTAGCATTCCACAACCTAGTTTACTGCTTCCACCAAAGATAACTTTACATACCTATAGTAACAATGAAACAATATACATCTGGGGTATATTAATCTTATTGGGTCGCTGTAAAACGTGTAGAAAATCTGCTTTTAACTGCTCATACAAGAATAGTAATCTTGACTTATATGTTTGAAACATAACTTATTTATATTTTACAGTCAAGAATATTGGCAGAATGAAAAATATAGACAATAAAAGAGCTCAGGAGCTGTAAAGGTATAATAAAAGCATGTGTTTTTAATGAATCCAGTAAGCACAGACAGCTCTGTAGTACAAGTAAAATATTTACTTGACTTAAATGAAATTTTTTTTTCCAGTGGTAATCTTTGTGTTTATCCTTTGTAGTCTTTTTGTGAAGACACAGAATACTTCTGCTTTACTTCTTCTTAAAGAAGACTTTGTACAAAATTCTGATTTTACCTTTGGATTGAATTTTAAGGTTCAGCCAGAGCAAAAACCAACACTAATGCAGGCCATAGATGGGACGTTTATCGGCCGAATTGTCGGCCGATAAATGAAAAATCGGTCGTTGCTGCCACCAATGCTTATGAAAAACAGCCGTTTTTCATAGATTTTCCAGCATGACCGATAAAAAGAAACGAGAAATCGGCCGACGACATTGCCCCACTAAAGGTGTGAATATCGGCCTGATTTTTTGTTGAGACGAAAATTTGGCCGATAAACGACCCGTCTATGGCCTGCAAAAGCTTAGTATTATCAGGTTGTATCCAGTTAATATTTTGTTTATTTTAATTGTGACCTTGGAAGAAGCTGCACTAAAGATAAAGGCTCAGTACTATGTACCTGGCCTGTACTGAATGTTTACTCATCTCACAGCCTAGGCTGCCAATCTCACTGTCTGGCACTTGCAAAGATTCTGAGGTTCCTGCTGCTGCAGTCCCTACATCACTATAGTCACATGAGGGTGGTGGGAGAAACCACAGAATGGGACCAGGCATCTGGCAGAGCTAGTGGTGTTAGATGCATAGTAATATTCTTCAGGCAATAAAGTGAAGGTACATGGCTTGGGCAGCAACATTGTCACTTTAAATGACATGGTCAAAGGCCTAAACTTTAACCACTTCCAGACCGGACACTTTTACCCCCTTCCTGACCAGGGCAATTTTCAGCTTTCAGCGCTATCACACTTTGAATGACAATTGCACGGTCATGCAACACTGTACCCAAATTAATTTTTTACCATTTTTTTTGCGACAGATAAAGCTTTATTTTGGTGTTATTTATTCACTGCTGGGATTTTTATTTTTTTTTGCTATGTAAATGAAAAAGTCCAAAAATTTTGAACAAAAGTGTTTTTTTTATAAAACTTTGCAAATAAATAATATTTCATCATAATCTTTGCCAAAATGTATTTCGTTATCTTTTTAGTAAAAAAAAAACAAAAACAAATTAGTTTATAACCAAAAATTATAATTTTTAAACATTTTTTTTTTACATTTTTTTTTTTTTTATTTATTTTTTTTTTTTACATACTGTCACCCTAGCAGTACAGTGTCACCATGGTTTTTTTTTTGATGAAGATTTTTTTTTTTTTTTTTTACAATGATTGCTTTTACACCCATATAGGATGTAAAAGCAATCATTTCTCTTTCTCTCTGTGTGCATTCCTGCACTCATTGAGAAATACAGAGTGAGCTGTGATTGGTCACAGCTTGTCACATGGTACAAGGCTGTTGCGAATAGCCTTGTACCATGTGACCTCTGTGATCATTCACAGATTTCACACGTAGTAAGCAATGATGTCACAAGTGACATCTTGCTTACAACTTTGCATGTGATCACTGATTGGCCAATCAGTGATCACATGATCGGGACCTTGTACAGAGGTCCCGTCCGACGATCGGTGTTTCACTGTGTCCGGAGGACACAGCGGGCACCGGATCGCGGTGCTGCGCGCTCCCAGGGAGCACGCACAAGCAGGGTGCAGGGAGGCCATTCATAAACGGCCACCCGACCCTGTACTGCCACCGTCCGGCCGTTTATATGCAACGGCCGGTTGGGAAGTGGTTAAAAAACTATGATGCATGTTACTTACTGTTCTCCGCACTTTATACACTGTGTTGTACATTACATAGTCCTGACCTTGGCATTGGTTCTGATTAAACATTCCCCTTAAAGATACTCCCAATGAAAGATGCAACCAGACCATGCTCACCTTTTTCTACAGCAGAGTTAATTTAGCCAATGTGCTCCAGGAAGTCCCAG